CCAGGGCCGAGGGCAGAGCTGGCTCGCTGGGCCTGTTCTAGGCCAGCACAAGCTCATGACAAGCCAGGTGTCCGTTGGTCATTTTGGCTCCGGGTGGTGGACGAGTCCTGTGGACACCCGGCACAGACCTACCAGGTCCCGTGTGCACACACACAGAGTACGACAGGTAAGTGTTAGGTTTTGGTTCCATGATAGGAATATGTCTATTTCTGGAGGACAAAACGTTCTCAGGTGTCCTCAGTGCCCGGGAGTCCGGCGCCCACCTCTTTCTCTGCCATGTGTTCGTGGTTCTGGGTTTAGCCACTCTGGTGTGTGATTATGCTCACACCTGTGATCTGAACTACTCTGAGATCTGAGGATCTAGTTTCAAAGCCAGCTCAGGCAGGGAAATTTGTGAGACTTTTATCTCCAATTAACGAGCAAAATCCAAACCCCCCCACAGTAACAAACAACTGGGTGTGGAGCTTTTAAGGCTTCACTCACGTGCCAGCCTTGAGTGAAGAGCTAAGGGACAACCAGGCCCTCGTATTGTAAAAAAAAAAAAAAAAAAAAGCTGCATTATTATGCCTCATTTTTTTATAATTTGCAATTTTCTAATAATAATATATGGTGTTGTCTCATTTTGTATGTGTGTGTTTTTGCCATCTGTATATCTTCTTTGGAGATGTTTTTTGGTTTTTACCAGAATTTTTTTGGTTTTAACAATTAGACTTTTTCCTTATTGTTGAGTTTGAAGTGCCCTTTGCATATGTTTGGATCCTAGTCATTTTAAAGGGTGACTTGCAGGTATTTTCTCCATGGCCCGTTTTTTTTCTTTCTTTACAGCATCTTTCAGAGAATAAAGAATTTAATTTTGCTAAAATCTATCTTATCAACTTGTTCTTTCCTGGATTTTGTGTGGGGCATTGGATCTAAGAACCTCCTTTGTTATCTTCTAGGGGATTTATAGTTTTGTGTTTTATATATGAGAATATGGTCTATTTTGATTTTAACTTCAGTGGGATAAGGTCTTTGTTTAGTTTCTTTTGTTCCTTTTTTCATATGGAGATTCTATTGTTCCATTTGTTCCAAATATTTTTGTCTCCACTGACCTGCTACTTACTCCCTGTCAAGGTCCAGTTGCTTTTATATGTGTGGCTCTGCTTGGGCTTTCTGTTTGGTTCCATTATCTGTCTGTTCTCTTACCAGTAGTGTTGGTCACTGTAATCTTGGGATTTGGATCCTCAACTTCGTTCTTAATTCATTTTAGTTGTCTTATGCCTTTCCCTGTAAACTTTAGAACCAGTTTGATATCCATTACCAAGATTGCTTGAATTCTGATTGGGATTCAAGCTATAGAACAAGCTAGGGAGAACTGATATCTTTTCATGGCTCAGTAGTAGAATGCTTTCCTCGCATGCATGAGGCCCTGGGTTCGATTCCTCAGCACCACATAAGCAGAAAAAGCCGGAAGTGGCGCTGTGGCTCAAGTGGTAGAGTGCTAGCCTTGAGCTGAAGAGCTGAGGGACAGCGCCCAGGCCCAGAGTTCAGGCCCCATGACTGAAAAAGGAAAAAAAAAAAAAACAAAAAAAGAATTTCATGGGACTTTTCTGTCCGTGCAGAATTAGCACACATTAGTCGTGTCAGAGAAATTTCACTGTGACATTTTCATACATGCCTACATGGGGATACAATGTATCCCAATGAAATCACCTTATTACTGTCCCTTACCTCCACTTCTAAAAGTTCCACCAAGTTTCACTGTTCTCATACATGCAGATGCTCCACTGTGACTGTATTCACTCCCCTGCCCTCTCCACCTACTCTCCCTTCTCTTTAGAGCAGCCTGCTC